CCAAGATCCATGTCACAATTACTGCTATTAAGCCTGGTTTCACCCAGTTTATATGTGTACTTTTGGTTTTTCTTGCCTGTGTAAGACTTTACTTTTCTCTACATTGAATTTCATTTTGTTAGATATGGCCCAGTGTTCTAGTCTGTCAAGATCTTGAGCCTATCATCTTGGATGTTAGCTACTCCTACAAGCTTAGTATCATCTGCAAATTTTATAAGTTCCCTTTCTATTCCCTCATCTATGTCATTAAGAGTACTGGGCCTAATCAGCTCTTTTAAAGTCCAGGACTTTGGTATGATTATGTTCTGTTGCTTATGTCTGCATTACATTGAATTCTAAAATGACATGATCACTCTCGCCCAAGGTTCCTACAACTTTAACCCCCTCTACTATTTTTTATCTGTAAGAGTTAGGTCCAGTATTAGAGTCCCTCTAGTTCCCTCTACCTTTTGGATAACAGAATTGTCCACTAGGTTGGTCAGGAATCTGTTCAATCTCCCACTTGATGCAGAATTTGTCTCCCACTTGATGTCAGGATAGTAAAAGTCCCCCATTACTACTGTGGTGTGTTTTCTACATATATTTATTAATGAGTTCACCCAGGGTGGCTTCCTCTTTTTCTGGAGAATCCTGTGAATCCTCTTCAGTCATCAGGGTAAAAGAGACTCAGAATTACTCAAAAGAAGGCCTCTTGAATGGGGATGCCTGACCAGAATAATGCTTCTGTTGCTCCAGAGTTCAGAAGCATGACTTTCTCCCCTACTACCAATTTCTGGACATCTGAGATGACGATACTTACTCTGAAAAGCCTTCGTGCTGCCATAACCAAGCTAGGTGTTAGTATCTTGCTGCATGAAACAAGAATGGGCAGCGGTGCAGTGGCTGGTGGATTTTCAGGCAAACTCACAAGCTCGTTCCATTGGAAACCAGGGAAACAATGGCCACATTTTGAACCTAGGAGAACAGCTCACTTTGGACCAAGAATGGTTGGGCAGCCTGGTGGCTGACTCTCTTGGTGACCTCTGGCCTTTGCCTTTCATTTGGGAAGCTGTCTGCTCACAATCATTGTGACACAAAGCACAGAGGGAATCATAGAATCCTCAGGTGGAAAGGACTTTTAGTCCAACTCCAAAGGCAGGGCTCCTCATACCATCTCAGACACATGATTGTCCAATGTTTTCTTGAAAATCTCCACAATGGAGCGCATACAACTCAGGGAGGCAAACTGTTTCACTGCTTTACAGTTCTAACTGTAAGGAAATTCCTCTTTATTTCCAGGGTTGGATCTCTCTCTCTTTCTCTCTCTCTTTGTTTTTTGCTCTTGTTCATTTATTTATTAATACTATAAGATATAAAAGTAGGAAAGAAAATATTAGGAAAATGGGAGGGGGAAATGAAAGAAAAGGTGTTGACTTCCGACTCCATTTGGTGCAATAGAATAAGATCATTTGAAATCTCAACACAGAATAGAGGCAATTGCAGACCAGACTCCTCTGGCTGGTACCCTCCAGATGTACTGAACAAGTATTTCCTTCATCTGCACTAGCACGTTCATGTCTACCTAGAAAGTTCTAGGCTAGAGAAGGTTCAGGATACAGAAAACTGGAAGATCATGAATTTCACCACAGGATGCTTCCAACTGTCTCTCGTATTCTGTATAATAATGATTCTTTTACTGATTTGATTATTTTATGATTTGAAACCTTTTGCCTTCCGCGGGCTTGTTTTAGTGCTACAGTAATTGGAGCTGCAGGAATAAAAGCTGACAACCAATGTCTTGTTCTCTCAACCTCCATATTGCATACATTTCTTTCTGGTTTGACAGCCAAATAACAGAATGACAGAGTTGGAAGGGACCTTGGTGGTCTTCTAGTCCAGTGGCCCCCAACCTTTTTTGTACCACAGCCCGGTACCGGCATCACAAAATGATCCACGGACCGGTACCGGCATCAGCACGCACAACCAAGGCAAGGCGAGCCGAGCGACCGGCCAGCTAGCTGTCCCCCACTTCTTCCCGCCACCTTCAACTCCTTTGTACCTTCTCGCGGTCGATGGGCTTTTGGGGCTCTTTCTTAATCTCCTCCTGAGTAACGCAAGACTCCACTGCCATCGGGATGGCTCTTCATTCAAAGCCGCCCCCCCCCTTCGACGAAACTAAGGCGCGAGGATTCCTTCAGCACCCAAACACCGCTTTCCATCCAACCGACGACCGACAAGCTCACCCGGAAGCACTTTCTCAAGCGCCGTCGAAACAAGATGGCGGTGCCCAAGCAAAGTAGGCGGCCCGGTACAAAATGATCCACGGACCGGTACCGGTCCGAGGCCCGGTGGTTGGGTACCCCTGTTCTAGTCCAATCCCCTGCTCAAGCAGGAGACCCATTTCAGACAGATGGTTGTCCAATCTCTTCTTAAAAACCTCCAGTAATGGAGTATCCACAAGTTGGAGATGCATTATTCAGAAAGCAGTTCCTATTATTATGGAGGGCTTATGCTCTTTAGTTGGTTAGTTTGGGAAATAAATTATTTTACTGGGTTTTTTTCCAGAAAGACTCATTGTAGATGTGTATTTTATTAAAGCTACATACCGACAGTCTGGAAGCAAACAGAAAATAACAGAAATGGGAACAATCCCATTATTTCTCACAAGTATTCAGTGACCTGCAGATCTCTTTTCATTCTTATACTTTTTGCTTTTAAAACAACAGAAATTTTGGGATCAATTGTCATTAGCTGAGGACTACCTGTAATCTTCTCCTCCATGTGACCTAAATCCATTTGGTTAAAGGGGTGGTGGAATTCTGATAATTAAAAATTGCTTCTGCATTTAAAAATACATCAGGTTAAAACAGTTTGGTGCTGGAAATGGGTTACTTTTTTTCTAATCTTGCCATCAGCTGAGAAGCTGGAGGCCATTGGTGGTACAATAAGGAAACAAAGCTGAAGTTAATATTCAGCAGGGTCAAAAGATGTATGCGATTTAATGGTGTTATCTTTTTTTGTTGTTCAGTTTCTGACCCCACTACAGAAGAGTGTAATGGAGTTGAGAAGCCAAAGAAAGACTAAATGGCTGGATGGATTCCAGGTTGGGGATGTTATTGATGGGCTATCTGCTAAAATAAAGCAAGGTCATACACACAATTCAAACTAAATCAGGAAGCCTGTAATTGTGGAGTCTGGCAAAAACAAAGAATTCTTATCCACAGGAAATATGCATGTGTATATCTTGTAACAATCCTGGCTAATTAGAAAGCTGACCTCAGCTAAAAGTTATGCCTGCAGCAAATCAAATGTGTATTAGATAACTCCTAGGGCATTCATTAGCCAAGACTTGGGAATAGGGACAGCTAGAGACCAATAGAAGAAATTGTAGAATTATTACTAAAATATTTATTAGATGATATTTCTTATTTCACTTTGTCTCACCTTTAGTGAAAATGTATAAAACTTACTCAATCCTTTGTTCTTGGCTCTTGACATTTTGACCAGGAGCACTTTTCCTTGGAGTACTCCAATAAAAAGCAATCAGAAAACCTGCATCTTGTGTCTATCATTGGCTTTGGAACCAGGCTCAGACCCGAATTGGGGACAATATGTAAAGCTTTGATTCACTTAAATGTTCATAGCTTTTTTTTTTAAATCCTGGGAGAAGTATTAAAGCAAACATGCAGACATCATAAACAACCTTGTTTTATTTGAGCTGCTAAAGCAAGGGTCTTCAAACTTGGCAAGTTTAAGACTTGTGGACTTACAACTCCCAGAATTCCTGAGCTAACATGACTGGAGGAGAAATTCTGGGAGCTGAAGTCCACAAGTCTTTAAGCTGTCAAGTTTGAAGACCCCTGTAAAAGTTTTGGAAAAAATTATAAATGGTAGCTGAAAACTCAAAGATCTTCCTGTAGTGCCACTGTGGCAGCAAAGGACTGAGGAAAAAACAGGTAATACAGCAATCATACTCAAAATTATACTATCTGAAATGAACCTTTGACACGATTGTGGCTCGGCCATGTGGTTAGTCTGTTCCTTGGATAGTTGTGAGCCAATAAAAAAAATAGATGCCTAATCTGGGAATCAGAATTAGAACCAGAACTCCAAAATAAATTGGATCCCTTCTTTGAATGTCCCACCCAGAGAAATCATTGAACTAATTCCCAACGTTAGTCTAGCTGTTTTTTTTTATATATATATAGAATACTTCAAAATATTTTAATCATTGCACCTGTGGTCAAATATTGCATGAACCTCCCTTTTTACGACCCTTTCTGTAATTACCGATTGCTCTCAGCTCCCTCTTTTGCCTGGTGAAACCGAAAGTTGCAATCCAAGTGAGGAAAGGAAAAAGAAGTCTTGCCCTTTTGTAATAGGCAAAGTTCTTTCCTTTGTAGATTCAAATTTCCCGGCTGGGAGAAATGCAAAGTGATTTGGTCAGCTGCCTTGAAAGTCAGAATCAGTTTAATAGGAAGGCAGATAAGAAGAAATCTCACAGCCGTTCCTAGGATTAATCTAATAAGTTGAGTAGAAAAACCTCATACACTTCAGGTTCTTTGATTTGTAGGTGTGAATCTTTGAAGACTTTGATTTGTGTGTGTTGAATTCCTGTTTCTTTGGGATCTCTTCCTGGGATCTTGGTTTTATGGTCCTGATCCTTTGTAGTTGCTTGTTGCTATCATGTTTCCTTCCTGCCATGCCTTTTGGTTTGCTTTTCACAAGTTTTTATAGCTTGTCATCCATTTGATTTCTATGGGAAAAGATCTTAGCTAGTTTACACGGTTTTTTCTCTGTATCTCATGCCTGTAATTTTCTCCTTCCTTTGTTGTGAAAAGTAAGCTGGCTCCAGCTATTTTAATAGCCCTACTTGACAAAGGGTGGGGGCTGTTTCCCTAGAAGAGGGGGGAATCGTAATCCTAAAAATTAGAAGAGGTCTTTAATGCCATCCAGCCCAACCCCGTATTTTGCTCGGTACCAAAATGTTCAGTTCAAGCCTCCCTTCAGATAGCTGGCAAGAGGAAGATTTGCAAAGTGTGCTTCGCCGGGCAACGCCTCCTGGTTTCAACTCGAAGCATCCTCAGCTCCTGCTTAAGAGGGCGCACCCCGCTCTCTTTCCCGCTTACGGGACTTGGAGTCTGTTGGGGCCGGCACGGCCTGGTACCGCCCTGTCAGGAAGCAGCTGTCTGATCGCCTCGCGCCGGCCTGCTCCGCCGGGTGTCCAAAGGCGGCTGTGAGCGTTGCCATGGAGGTCCGGGGCCAGGCTGAGCCGAGGTAAAAAGAGCGGGTCGGAGCAGTGGCGTTCTCGGGGGAACGGCTAGCGTGCATTATCGGGATACGCGTCAGGCAGAAGTTAACTTTTTGACTTCAAGAGGGCAGCCGCCTTGAAATGTGTCGTAAAACAGGAGAAGCGCAACCGTGGCTTCCCGGGCATTGCTCACTTGAACCACTCGCGCTGTTACTTAGGGCAGCTATGCTCTTCGGCTTGACGCCCCTGATGCATAGCAGGTGATGCCAGAGCGGCCAAAAGGATATGAGGACCAGTAGTGTGGGACAAAACAAAAACAAAAAAGGAGGGTTGGAGTTGCTTTGCTTTGTAGCCTGACTTTCCCCCCCCCCGGGAGCTTTCCCACCCCCCTCCCATAACAATTCTGTGAGGCAGGCTGAACTGAGAGGGTCAGTACAATGTACAGGATTTATCCAATGGCAAATGTCACTTGAAAAGAGGCAGACAGATAGATTTCTCCACTTTCCATTGTTGTTGTTTTTTTAAATAGTGGGACCCCCGCAAAAGGATGGGAATTCAAGGCAGCCATCAGCCTTCCATCTATTCCTTTTAATGATAGAATACACCAATCTCCTGGTTTCTAGCCTGGCGCCTAGTTTTGGAAATTTTTGAGGCCTCCATTTGGATTTGATCTTTGGCATAGACCAGGGGACTGGGATGTTTGTCTATAATACAAAATTATAGGACAAAGATGATAGTGGATATTACATTGAAGACAAACAAGTGTGCAAGTCTCAATGTCTGACTAATGCTATTATTTCTTCTTGTATTATTTTCAGAGGAGATGGAGGAGAGGATTTTTCCACTTCTGTTTCTGTTAGGAACTCTTCCGATTCCTTTTAAGACAGGGCTGACCAGTCTTTTGGTGACCAGAGGTTAAATGTTGTAAGTTGTAACTTTGGAGAAAGTAGAAAGCTGTAGTAGTGGGAAGACTGGTTATTCAGAGTCATTATAGTCACAACTTATATTCTCTGAAACATGCCCCCTGTTGTATTATGTAATATTATGAATGTTCAAAGTTCAACTTCTATTTGGCCTAAACTTGTTGGCAAGAGAAGGAATTTAACATTACACCATACCCTCTTGTCTATGCATTTTAAAACTTCCTGCCCAAAGAACTCTGGGGAATTCAAAATATGCACATTTGAGAGCCATTTTCCTTGTTCCTAATAAAGATAACAGCCAACAATAGATTTTAAAAATAATAATTTTTCTATTTATTTATGGCTTTAGCAGAATGAATAACACCAATTTATATAAATAAGGCAAATGGAAAAAATATTTTCTGTATTTGGCATTAATGTGTGTGTGTGTGTATATATTTATATATTCTATTTGGTATTTCAGATAATTTTGGGTGACTGGTCTTATTGCATGTACTTGGTTATCCTTTACTGTTCTTAACCGGTGTCTCTTTTCTCTTTTTTGCTATTAGTATTCTACCATCAAAAGAGCTGTTGTTCAAAGAAACATGAAATCAGATCATGAGGACAGAGAGGGTCTTGTACCCGGGACATCAAACATGTCACCAGAGGAAAAAATGATGGACACCGGGAGTAGCAGTCATGATATCATCAAAGTTGTATCTCCATGTCCTAAGGTTTGGGGAAATGTTGATATAAAACCTAGCCAAGAAGCCTCCAGGAAAAAACTATGTGGCTATTTATGTAAATGTTCTTCCAAAGCACCAATCAAGACCTGGAAGTCACGCTGGTTTTGCTATGATGAAAATAAATGCTACTTGCTATATTACAGGACAGCACAAGATATTAATCCTTTGGGAAGTATAGAGATTTCCATTGCGAGTTTTGATCTGAAAGTGGGAGCAGATGAGGGTATTTTTGAAATTAGGACTCCCATCAAAGACTTTATTCTTAAGGTATGTAATTGCAGGAAGCGGGGTGGGGGGGAGTGGATGTGTCCTGAATTGGGAACAAAACCCCAATTATATTAATTATTTCAGCATCTTGAGAGATATTTTCGATAAAGTTGCTAAACAAAGGATTCAGAACTGTCTAAGTTTAAATTTGCTACACAAAACATGAAGTAAGAAACTGTGTTCTTGCCTATGATAGATAAACAAATTCGCACTCAGTGTAGAAATATTTAAACAAACTTGGTGTTGAAATATGGCTTGAAAAGTTCTGGCTACCTGCTACGCTTGCAAATGTTTTCTTAAAAAAAAAATTCATGTGATTTTTTAAATTGACAATGTGACATTGTTGGGAAAGCTATTAGCTTATCTCTAACATTCTCAATAGACAGCGTTGTTATGAAACATGACATTGTATGCAAATAAATGTAACTTTTTCCTCGGTGGATAAATATATTCTGTCCAGGACAATCAGATTTTTAAATATCACAGTAGCATATAGGTTGTCCATGATTTATGACCACAATTGAGCCCAAAATTTCTGCTGTTAAGTGAGACATTTGTTAAGTGAGTTTTGCCTCATTTTTTGACCTTTCTTACCACAATTGTTAAGTGAATCACTGCAGTTGATAATTTAGTAACCCAGCTGTTAAATGAACCTGGCTTCCCCATTGACTTTGCTCATCAGAAGGCGACAAAAAGTGATCACATGGCCTTGGGATACAGCAACAATCATAAACATGAACCAGTTGCCAAGCATCTGAATTTTGATCACATGAACATGGGAATGCTATAAAGGTTGTAATTGTGAAAAATGGTCATAAAATCACATTTTTCAGTGCCTTTGTAACTTTGAATGATCACTAAATGAATTGTAGTAAGTCAAGGACTATCTGTAATTGTTTAGCATATTATGGATGAATAAGATTCAAATAGAAAATCACTTGCAAAATTATTTTAACTTTTAGTTAAGAGTGTTTTCATTCTGATAGATTAGTAAGAATGTGTTTTTTATTAATGTCTTTATTCCTTTTTATAAGTTTTTTTAGAATCACAGTGTATGTATGTATGCATGTATGTACATGTGTGTATGTATATGTATGTGTATATATGTATATATATATATGTATATGTATATGTGTGTATATATATATGTATATATATATGTGTGTGTATGTATATATATAGATAGATAGATATAGATATATAGATATATAGATATATATAGGGGTGGGATTCTACCAGTTCGTACCTATTCTCTAGAACCGGTTGCTAATATTCTAAGCAGTTCGGAGAACTGGTTGTTAGAAGAAATTACTGGCCTAATCCTGTAAGGAAGGCAGGAAGGAAACATTCTGGTGTTGCTTACAGAAACTGCCTCTCGGTTAACCCTTATTATATTCTTGGCAGGACTAGACTTCCTGTCTCAGTATTTTTTCCATTCTTTGCTGGTACTTTGCTTGTGTGGAGTGACCATTCAAAGTTACAATGGCACTGAAAAAAGTGACTTATGACCATTTTTCACACTTACAACTGTTGCAGCATCCCCACAGTCATGAGAGGCCAGGCGAGGAGATGCGTGCCTCGATGTGAGTGATATTGAGTTGGCCACGCCCAGCCAATAACATGACCGCTAAGTCACGCCCACCACCTAAGCCACGCACACAGAACCGGTTGTTAAAAAATTTGAATCCCACCCCTGTATATATATATGTGTGTGTGCATGTGTGTATATATCTATATCTATACCTATATCTATATCTATCTGTCTATCTATCTACATACATACATACACACACAAGTTTTTTTTTAATGTAACCTTATGTGTTTTATACTTTTTAGCTTTTACAATTATTTAGTGTTCGTATTTTATTTTTCTTATGCTGGTGTATGAGTGTAATAAAGATTTTAATTTTGATTAGTGCTAAACAAGAACATTAGGAGTGGCATTCCCAATGCATCTGAACAGCAACAATTTTAGAAAGGACTACTTTTGTTCTAAAGACTATTTCTTTTCTCTTTTGTTTTGATTTTAAATTGAATTACAGGCTGTCAACAAACAAGCCATGATGTATTGGCTACAACAACTGCAGCTAAAACGCTGGGAATTTTGTAATAAACAGGCGAAGGGTTTTGTTGAAGCTATGCCATCTTTTCCTTCCATAAATGAGGCCCAGAGGAGCAACAGTAAGTAATAAAAGTACAAAAGCTTGAACTTGAATTGCAGCAGGAGTAGTACTTTTGTTAGAGGTTATGTAAGTCAGGGTAGGTAGCTCTTCATCTCTTGACTGTCTGTGATAGTACACTGTTTTTGATTCCCCCATCAGGCCACCAGATTGTGCTGCTGAACATCAGTATGACTTTGGACTGTTTTAGAAGAGAGAGAGGGAAGAGTGTTTTGCCTCCAAAGCATCTTGCTCCTAAATTCACCCTGAAAAAGATGGCTCCATCCCTTTTGGTGATATCATAGCCTCCCTCCCTCCCTCCCAGTATTCCAATATGTTTCATACTGTAATCAGTTCAGCATAGCAATATTATTAAACAAAGAATTAATAAAACATTGTATAATGTGTGCTGCAGCCTTTTAAATGCATGGAAGGCTAAGCAGTGGCTCCCGATTCATTAAAACTATGCTTGTCCTGGTGGAGATCAAGATGACCATTGGCTGTAGCTTGATTCCACATACTAAGGTCTCCATCATACAAGAATTCTAAATGCATGTATTTGCTGCAAAAAAATATTATTGTTGCCCTGCATTTTTCTCTGCTTCTTCCTCTTCTGAATATTGGTTCCTCATTCATCATCCTGAACATTGTCCTTCAATCTTCACCCATATATCAAGCAAAAGGCATTCTAAACATAATTCAATTTGTCCCCAGTTTATTACTAGTAAACAGCTGGGTATATGTACACACATGCTTAGGCCCAATCCATATACTCCCAATTTTCCAAACTGGAGGAAGAAGATATATAAAATCACGCATTGAGTTCATGTGATTTAAAGTTAGCTGAACCATTTGATTGATGATGTTTATAATTTGGATTTTGGATTCTGATTTATATATTGCATATGTGTTGTAATAAACTTTGAATGAATGAAGTTTTGATCACTGGTTTACAGCTTTCTGTTCTTTTCTATTTTATGCTCTTTAGTTCTGGTGCTGTATTTTGTTAAATTTTGAATTATTACAGTTGTTAGCTTTTAGGCCCCTTTTTGTAGAAAGCGAGGTTGTCCGTGTAATCAACAGAATGGAAGAGAATTTCTGTATTTCAGCTATTGGAGGCAAAGTAAAAGAAGAATGGGTGTGCCCCTGTTTTGTCATTAGGCAAAAGCTGAGCATAAGTTGCCCAACTGCAGCTAGCCAATTTGTCAATAGCGGAAAGAAAAGTGCAAGTTAATTTTAGATAACTATTTCCTTTGGACTTAGGAAGTTAAGACACTCTGAGAACTAGCCAACTTTGAGTTCACCTTCTTAAAATCCTGGGTTTTACCCAATCTGTTCCCTAGTAGAATAAAGATTGGCAGCAGGATTTCCCCTTCCCACAAAGCCTCTTTAGATACAGTCTGTACAAAGTTGAAGGGAAGTAATTACAAGTCAAAGGACAATGTTTGCTCAAGAGGCAGTTGAGAATACTGTGGTGCCTTGCAGGATGTGGCTGGGCCGTGTGATCTGTAGGTTTAGCAGGCCTGACCGGCCGGCTGTTAAGCTTTATCTCTTTCTTTGCAGCTGAGGCAGAACAGGATTTTTTACCCCCTGTGAAAACACCCACTGACGTAGTTGGCATAAGGGCAGCTTCTCTACCAGCACCACCGACTTCTATTGCTCTTCAGAACATCTCTCTCAAGCATCCTTGGATTGAAATTCAGTAACTATGTCATCTGTTTGCATTCCAGAAAAATAACTCTGCTAAATATATTGCGTTGAAGTAGCCACCTTACTGAACTTGGTGCCCTGTGGAAATTGTGAATAGAATTCCCAGCCCTTTGTCATATATTCCATAGCAGAGAAATAATCTGTGAGCTGTCACTCAATTTTCCTCCCTGTGCAATCTTGACTGGCTCCATCCACTATTATTCACCTCTCAACTGACTACAGCAATCACTAGCTGAGTGGGGAGAGGGTAGACATACTGTGGTGCCTCTCTTAGCATGGCCTAGATAGAGATTGTGTGGTATTCACAGCTTTTGACTTCTGGCGACCCTGGGCAAGTCCTGCAGGTTTCTTGGCAATATTTTGGAAGTGATTTGCCCTTGCCAGCTTCCTAGGGCTGAGAGAGAAGGGACTAGCCCCAGGTCACCCAGCTGTCTTCATGCTTAAGGCAGGACTGGAACCCAGGCTCTTAAGTTCCAGCCTGATGTCTTAACCACTACTACACCAATAAATTTTTAAACATTTTATTTATTTTAAAACTGAATACTTGACTTTATCTTGTTTTTTTTTAAAGAAAATTAGCTTAGAAATTCCTTTAAATTGAATGCTTAAATAAAATGGTTGCTTTTGCATAGAATTAATGATGCCAGTGCAGTTTTAGAAATGCTGATTTCCTTAGTTTTGTTCAGTTTCCACCCAGATTATTGTTAAATGCATGATCTAGCTCTAATGAGATCCATTAATCCTAAAACACTTTAAGAGGGTTTTTTCTCTAATGTGAGGAAAATGAAACAAGATATGATTCAGCGGTCATCTAGTAGTGAACAATTTATGCATAGGATGCCATTTCTGAAGGTGGTCCTTGATTTATAACTCCGTCACTTATAACCGTTCAAAATTACAACAGATCTATCTGTGGGGTATTTATAACCCGGGTTTGAACTTCCGTTGGTCCCTATCCTGCAGTCACATGACTGCACTTTTGTGTCTGTCACTAGTTACAGTTGTGATAGGCAACGCTCCATTACAGTCATAACTCAAGGACTACCTGTAAACTCATGTAATGTAACCTACATTTGGGTAAAAGGACTACTAAATCAAATATCTGTCAGCTGCCAAGAGATTTGACATTTATTTATTTAGTATAAGGCATATTATACATGGAGTAGCAATAAAAATTAACATCTAATTTGCCACTAAATTACATTGTCAGTAGATGTACTGTAATATGGTAAAATGATTACACAAAGCTCTTTTTTTTTTTTTGCCTTCAAGTCCGTTTTTGACTCCTAACAACTGCCTGAACAAGTTTGTGCAGTTTTCGTGGCAAGATTTTAGAAGTGGTTTCCTCTTATCTGCTTCATAGAGCTGAGAAGGTGGGACTGGCCGAAGGTCACCTCGTTGGCTTCGCGCCTAAGGCAGGACTAGATGTCACAGTCTCCCAGTTTCTAGCTTGGTGCCTTAACGACTACACCAAACTGATAGTCTTACACAAAAATTAGCCATGTAGATATGTACTCTCTAATATTTGATTCATTTGGACTTTGTTTATACCATAATTCAACAGCAGAGTGAGATGCTGGTTGCAAGGTACGTGTATAGGTTAATGAGCACTTTTATTTATCAATAAACGAGAACAGAAAGTGTTTTCCAATACTTTCGATTGTAAAGATGTGCTGCATTTGAAAGTACATGATCACTTTTGGTGTCAATTTCAGAAATGAAAAATATTGCTGAAAAAGATTTAAAGTAGCTATTCTGAATCTGCTTCTGTTTTACCAGCCAAGGAATGAAGGATAAGTTATAAGAAATTTAAAAAAAACCAGGCACACTTGCTTAATTCTTCATCTCTTTATAGAGTTGTAAGCCTAAACAACTAAACCTAACATAACTATTGTTTCTCTGCTCACGTATTAAAAGCCAATGAAATTGAAACACTTTGGACCTAGAAAATTCTGTAATACTTTGATTTTAGTAAAGCAAACCGCAGTTGCTACAAACTGGCATTTGCAACTAATTTTTCCTAGCATTTTCCTGCAATTGTAGGGCTGCTTTTTTCAGATCAAATAAGTATTGATACATTGGTTACAACAAGAATTGATTGACCAGTTTGTCATCAGAGCCTGATGTAATGGCCTGAGAGAGAGCGATTGGCCCAGAGTCACCCAGCCAGCTTTCATGCCTAAAACAGGACTAGAACTCACATTCTACCTAATTTGTAATCTGATGTTTTTACTACTAGGCCATTTTGTGACCATTTTGATAGTTGAATATTTTAACTCTTCAGACCAGGTGGTAGTTTATAATGATTCAGTGTTACACTAGGCAAACATTTTTAGGCATTAGATTAGAATACCACATATTGGCTGCAAAAATCTGTCGATTCCAAATCGATTGCAAATTTTCTGGCCAACTATGATGGCTTATATCTTTGTTGCCATCTGGGGCTTGGTTGGTTTTTGTAGCCCTACTACACAGAGAAACCCGGTGTAACAGAGAGAAGTGCGGTTTTTGTTTTTTGAACGCTGCTTTTCGGTCTGCAGAGAATTTGGGGGGGTTAGTTTGAAGGTACAGTTCTGTCACATGAGTTTCTACACGCCCTCTGAAATACTGCAGCCAGGCATGCTTTACCACTATAGTGAGATCTAGAATTAAGATGTAAGCATTAGCTTTTCTGTGCAATTTTCTTCTTTCAGAAACACGGTGCATAATCTGTGTGGCAGCCGTCAGAACCGAAGAGACAGTGGTAGCTTTGAGGATAATTTTGAAATTATTGCTGATGAAGAGCACCTAAAAGGAGAAACCGAGGAAACAGGTACTTACTTTGCATTTATGATAATATATAAAAGACATTTCCTGTTACGTTTTGTGATCGTGTTATGAAGTAAATCAATGAAGGCAAACTGGGAGATGAACAAAAACAAAAATAATTATACAATCTGAATGTTACTTAAAAATAAACCCCTCTAAATTGAATGGGATTTATATCAGGGATAGATCTAATGCAAATTAAGTATTTGACTTTGTAGAAACAACAGAATGTTTATTATGGAGATTCTCAGTCATCCATGGTTGTCCCAAAGGTATTTTTTTCAAGAGGCAACTGGACTTTCTTGTTTTTCTTTTGAAGACGTTTCGCTTCTCATCCAGAGCTAAAGAAGCTTGTTGGATGAGAAGCAAAACGTCTTCAAAGAAAAACAAGAAAGTCCAGTTCTTGAAAAAAAATGCCTTTGGAACAGAAGATTTACTTCTCCAGTGCCTATACCACACAGGTATTTGAACTAGCCCTTATTGCAAAAATACCTGGGGTGCACAAGACAATTTTATACCCTCTGCTGCTTTTAGATATCAATCCTGTTACAACATACAATGTTGTCACATTCTGCACAGCAGTACTTAAAATCTTTAGAGAAGATGACTTGTATCACAAACTGATTTTAATGAGCATTTAGACCATGATTATTGCCTATTTTGTAATTGATTCATTGAATTATTTGTATTACACATATATAGTTTATCATGTTTTTATGCCCATTTATTGTTTTTCTTCTCTCCTTTTAGGCTCTTTTTAAATATGTTTGTTGTTTTGTATAATTATATATATTATGTAATTGTATTTTTGCGTTGGTTAGTTTTTGCTTTTAAATTTCTTGTACCCTACCCTTCTTATGCTGGTCTTTGACCGTAAGAAAGGTTTATTTGATTTAGTAATGTACTTCCTGATAAACATGCAGAGGATTGCTCATAAATCTTGTGACTTATCTAGAGGAGATATTAATGTTTTGCTAAACTACCAATTGTTCAGAATATAATTCTGAGATCTTCCAGTGCAAGTAGATTATTCCCTCTCATTTATATTCATTTCAGTCATGGCAGACATGCAGAAAGACACAAAAATGAGACCAAAGCCATCAACACTCCGAAAATACAAAAAAGCAAACAGCAGTTTTCATCGTTTTGTTGAAGGAGCAGAACAGGGAAAAATAGCTTCTCTTCAGCAACAAGTTTTGATTCTTACAGAGGAAGTAAAATCTCAGAAGGTAAGCCTTAAATCAAATATCCAGCCATGTATAAGACAATGTTGGACTAGAAATTCTTTCCTGGTACATTTCTAGTGATAATGCAGGTTGTTGGCAAATGGAAGCAAAATTAAACTGGAAAAGTTTCTGGAAAAATGTCCTTGGAGTGGCATGTTCTAGCCAGCAAATAAACCTGGCACCTTTCATTGATAAATATATTTAATCATCCAGACTGTAAATTGCTTGACTTTTAATATAAAGAAACTGAAGCAGCATATTTCTTTGCAACTGGGTTGTGAAAACAGTGGGCGAGTGCGCATGCACACACTTCCCCACTTGCGCGAACAGCAGGTGAGCACTTTTACGTGCGCTCCATTTGTGAGAGTGTCAAGTACATGTGCAAGACTCATGGAAACGGAGCTGTGTGTGCATGCTTGCTGACCATTCATGCGGAAATGTTGTCTCGCTGCCCCCTCCCTCCCCCCCCCGGGCGGTCTGCAAAGCCAGAAAGGTGGGCAATTCTGTGTTAGGCCACATGCTGGGTGCAATTTAAGGGTGCCTGTTTCCATAAAAAAAAGAATACTAGTAGAAACACTCTGAGGCAATTGAAGAATAGTATAGGTAGTCCTCAACTTACGGCCACAGTTGAACCCAGAATTTTTGTTGTTAAGTGAGTTTTGCTCCATTTTACGACCTTTCTTGCCACAGTTGTTAAGTGAATCAGTGCAGTTGTTAAGTTAATAACATGGTTGTTAAGTGAATCTGGCTTCCCTGTTGACTTTGCTTGTCAGAAGGTCAAAACCATCATTAAAACCATCATTAAAAATGAGTCAGTTGCCAAGATTCAAATTCTGATCATGTCACCACAGGTTGTAAGTGTGATGCGTCACTTTTTTCAGTCCTGTTCTAACTTCAAAAGATCACTAAATAAATGGCTGTAAGTTGAGGACTACCTGTACTAATAGGTGCTAAGTGCCGTGGTGGCACAGTGGTTAGAATGCAGTACTGCAGGCCACTTCTGTTGACTGCCGTCTGCCTGCAATTTGGCAGATCGAATCTCAAAGTTGACTCAGCCTTCCATCCTTCTGAGATAGCTAAAATGAGGACCCAGGTTGTTGGGGGCAATATGCTGACTCTGTAAACCGCTTAGAGAGGGCTGTAAAGGCACTGTGAAGCGATATGTAGCTCTAAATGCTATTGCTAAATGCTAAACAGATTCAACCTTTGAGAAGTTAGTGTGACTTTCAAACTGCTCCATAAAGAAGCTTTCTCTTTGCTGAAAGGTTTTACTTCAGCAGGAATGTTCTGGATATGCCCCCTGGACAGACCTGGGTAGCTAATCCAGATTTAGATGTATTTTTGTGATATGTAATTTCTGTGAGTCATAGAAGACCACTCCAAGTTAGTCTAAATTACTTGTTTTATACTATGCGCGTTAAACTATCAATTTTATGCCCATGCCTATATTGTATTTTTTGTATTTTGTATGGGTTTATGTTTTATCTCTGTATACGTAAGATTATGCTTTGGGTTATGTGAATCACAGATGTGTCTATGAAGCTTTTAATGATAGTGGAACTTCTTGTAGCATTTTTTCCAACTTTCCAGTCTGGCTAATAGTCCTGTGGTTTTCTGGTGACTTTCATTCAAATATTAACCGGCTCATGTCTTAGTTAGCTTTTTATGGTAGCTAGGTGCTGCAATATAATTAGGTAGGAGAGGAAAGATCCAAATTAAAATCCCAACTTAGTCAGAAAGTTATTCCTAAATAATGTTGGGTCTGTCACTCTGAACCTAACCAACCTGACAGGGTTGTTGAGGAACATAACAGTAATGGGGTGAATTGTGTATACTGCTTGTAGGAAGGAAATGATGAAAATATTACCTTGATGGGCTTGACATGGTGAAAGAAACATGATTTTACAATAATATTTTTCATGCTCCATAAAAGCATACCCACCCTAAAAATATTACATCCAAAGTAAGTTCTATAGGGGGAAAATGTTTTAATTTTATTAAGGAAACACTGCAAAGTTTAGACCAGAAATACAGAAAATAAAACATAGTGAATAAATAAGAAAGAAAATTGAAAAAAGAAAAAAAAGGTTATTAAAAAATGGCTTCCAACCTTCTTAGCAGCAGTTAATACTTCACCATCTCTCTCTAAGATTACATCAACATTTCTTTCCATTCTAACCATCAAATCCATAAATCATGAGTTCAGTTCTTTTTCCTTTCTTCAGCAAAAAGTCCAAAACGGGTTTCCAGTTATTAGTGAATAAGATTATTGCCCTTTCCCTAATCTGACTATTAGACTTCGGTGTTTGGATGGAACACAATAGAATCTTTTCACTCCCAGATAATTACAACTCCCAGATTAAGGAGATTCATTTTTGTCATGTGTGTGTGTATGTATATGTACATGTATGTGTATGTATATGTATATGTATGTATATATGTGTGTGTGTGTATGTGTGTGTGTGTGTGTATGTGTGTATATATATATTCTTAAGTTTTCGCGGGTATTTACATGTATGGTATTCAGCTTTGTTCAGGTATTTTCCCACGTCATTATAGTTGTGCTTTTAAAGTTGTAGCAACGTTTCGGCAGAATCTCATCTGCCATCATCAGGCTTCTGTATTGTGTTCGTCTGTGAGTCAGACTTTTACAGTTGTTTAAGTTTTAAATTTGGGGCTAGCCTACTGCTGTGCCAGAATGGTTTTTTCTTCATCCTGATTGGTTGGGAGTCTTGGTCTGTGTTTATTGGTCTTGGAGTTTGCTGTGTTCTGCTTGATTGGTGTTTCTAATATCTTCTGTCTGTTTTGTGCCTTTTTTTTGTCTTGTTTGGCTGGCAACATTGTGTTCCCGTATTGGAGGCTTTTAGTACAGCTTGGCTCCGAGTAAATGGACGGCTATCATTTGTTAGGAAGCTAGGTTTCATCTGGGTGCCTGGTTGGGGTGTGTTTGAGCTGGAGGTATCGGGGGGATCTGTTTGTGCCCAGGTGTTTGCCTGGCTTGTGGTGTGGAGATCTTTTTATTTGTGAGTGCAGGCTTCCAAATAATTGACAGTCTGGTGGAATCATCATGAATAGAAGAGATGATTCCACCAGACTGTCAATTATTTGGAAGCCTGCAATCACAAACAAAAAAATCTCATTTACTCGGAGCCAAGCTGCACTAAAAGCCTCCAATACAGGAACACAATGTTGCCAGCCAAACAAGACAAAAAAAGCCACAAAACAGACAGAAGATATTAGAAACACCAAACAAGCAGAACACAACAAACTCCAAGACCAATAAACACAGACCAAGACTCCCAACCAATCAGGATGAAGAAAAAACCATTCTGGCACAGCAGTAGGCTAGCCCCAAATTTAAAACTGAAACACTGTAAAAGTCTGACTCACAGGCGAACACAATACAGAAGCCTGATGATGTCTACAAGGATTCCTGATGTTTGACAACACCCATTTAAAATCAATAAAAATAATATATAAATCCAGTGAAACATAAAACCAGCCATCCTCCCTGATGTCCTTAATCCAGCAACAATCTCAGATATTAAAAGCCCTACAGAAAAACTGCTGGAATAACAGAGTGAGTTGATTTGTTCCTGTAATAAATTGCTGGATGCTCAACATGCTCACCTAATGTTAAAAGAGGACATAACTTTGCAAGATATTGCATTCGGTAGTTCCTCTACCAAAAATCTCTGTTGTGACACACTTCTTGTAAAACTGCTGAAAACCACCCTTGTTCTTCATTATTTCACAAAGGAAAAAAGGAAGGAGCTTTTACAATATAAGTCCCAATTCAGTCCTTTTGCTGATTTTACTAAATACTATAATTATTTTGCTTTAAGAAAATGAATTCATTCACTAGACTCATTCTATGTTATAGTTTGCTTTGGTTCACACATTGTGGTAAGTCACATATACAGTACATACACACATAGAGTTTACCAACACGATTAATGCTTTATTCCAAAATGAAGGCAATTTTAAATTTATGCTAACCCCTCAAGAGAGAAAAATTAGAGAGGTAAAATAGCTATAAACATGTTAAAAACCCTATACACAGCTCAACTGCCCTGCTTTATCCACTAGATTTGCTAATTCCCTCATAATGTAATCTTGGAAGAGGCTGCAAATAGAAAAAAAAATTACATTGGCTAATTCTGCAATGAAATAAAATTACCATTATTACTGCTCCTGATTTCTAAACACATATGCTTAGAACTTCAGAAAATAGAAAGAACTTCAGAACTAGAAAGAGTGCAGAGAACATAAAGAAAGATGATGAGGGGTCGGAGGCTGAAACATATGAAGAACGGTTGTAGGAATTGGGTATGCCTAGTTTAATGAAAAGAAGGACTAGGGGAGACATGATAGCAGTGTTCCAATATCTCAGAGGCTGCCACAAAGAGAACTAAGTCAAGCTATTCTCCAAAGCACCTGAAGACAAAACAAGAAGCAATGGATGGAAACTAATCAAGGAGAAAATTCCTGACAATTGGAACAATTAATCAGTGGAACAACTTTTCTCCAGAAGTTGTGGGTGCTCCATCATTGGAGGTTTTAAGAAGAAATTGGACAACCTTTCGTCTTAAATGATATAGGGTCTCTTGCTTGAGCAAGGAATTGGACAATGAAAACATGTACAAAAAGGTAATTTGCGTCATTTGTGTGATTACGCATTTGACTTAATTACATAGTGTGCATGAGATTACATATTTGTCTAATTACACAAGTGATACAAATTGATACAAATGATAGAAAACATATGATGTAATAATGTCAAGTAGGTAATTAGGCAGATGATATAAATTATCTCAGTCATCAGTTCTGTTTCGGAAAAAAAACAGATTTTGCAGCTGAAATCTTAACCACATTTCATCCTGTTGCATTCAAAATCCATTGCATTGCATCCATAAAAATCAAGTTCTTACTGTTTGCAAACTATCTCTCCATTAACTGAAAGTAAGGATTTAGAACAGGGGTGAAACTTGCAGCCCCTGGGCCAGATGCATCACATGCTGGCCCTGCCCCCGCCCAGTTTAGCAAAGGGGGGGGGAGAAAGTCACGATACGTCATGTGACGATGCCGTGATGATGTGAGTTTGACACCCCTGATTTGGAAGAGCTCATGTTGAAAGTAAAACTGGAGTAACAAACCCAGGTTAATAGAGTGTTAAACATTAAGGAAACAAAGGTACTGCCAAGCAGTGAGGTTAGTAACTTCACCATTTATCTTGAAGCAATAAAGTGGTAAACAATTTATTTCAACAATTGCTCATAGCAATGAGGGCAGTGGCAGTCAAGATCATGAAAACAAATCATATTGCAATGGCCAAATCCATCAGAATAGTTAAAGCATTTTCCCAATAATGTATACCTATGAAAGCTGGATACTTAATAGAATGGGGGGGGGGGGGAAATCATTTATTTATTTGATTTGTCAATCACTTACAAGATAATAGGTATAAGTATATACATAGTTATGAATACATGAAATGGATACATTGAGAAAAATAAAAATAAACAATAGGACAAGGACGGTAGGCACGTTGGTGCGCTTATGCACGCCCCCTACAGACCTCTTAGGAAAGGGGTGAGGTCAATAGTAGACAGTCTAAGGTTAAAGTTTTGGGGGTTTGGGGAAGAAACCACAGAGTCAGGTACAGTATTCCAGACATTGACCACTCTTGCTGAAGTCGTATTTCCTACAATCAAGTTTGGTGCGGTTTACCTTGAGTTTGTATCTATTGTGTGCTCTTGTGTTGTTATGGTTGAAGCTGAAGTATTCATTGACAGGTAAGTCATTGCAATGTATGATTTTATATACCATATTTAGATCAGACCGAAGACGGCGTAATTTAAGGTTTTCTAGGTCTAGAATTTCAAGTCTGGTGGCATAAGGTATTCTACAACGAGTAGAGGAGTGGAGAGGGAACTTCATCTTCCTTTCAGAAAAATATAGAAAGTTTCCATTTTTGGTGCTAAATATTAGCACAATACCAGCTCTCAGAATCTTTTCAGTTTCCCCCTAATCTGTCTTTGGAAATTTAGTACAGCTTATTGCCATTTGTACTTTTTAGTGGAATGAAAATTTGGGTCATTCTTATATGAAAGAAATATAGATTCTTTCCAGATATGGAAATATTTGCTTTGGATCTATGTATGATGTTTCTGTGCTGCACACAGAACAATTCTGAATGCTATGTTAAACTGGAAGAAACTTTGCGGCCATCTCGCCCATAGTTCTCCAGAATGTTAGGCAAGTGTGTGTGTTTGTGTTTTCATTCCTGCAACTTCAGATGACAAGAACTGATTTGAGGAGGGAGAGGGTCTTGCCATTGTACAAGTGCTGTGCCACTCAATTCTGTACACACCCCAATAACTGTGACATTTTCACTTCCCCCCACTCCTCTCCTACATTTTCTCAAAAAGAGAGCGAGAGAGAGAGACTGAAAATGCAATGTCATTTTCAGAGAATGGTCCTAAGAGCTGATTGTATAACAGACGGGACATTCCCAACATTTGTGGTAGTTTCCCCAAGAGTTGTTATTTAATGTAACAGCAAGTCACTTCAAAGTGGCTCTCCAGGATACATCATATGAATATCACAAGCCCAATGGCTATGGGCAACTTATGAATCAGCTGTATTATCTGGAGATGATTCAAGGAAACAGAGAACTTCAGTCTGTGTTAAGATGACCTATAGTAACCAAGTCAGATGTACCATCTTTTGACATTGTAATCTAAAATCCTAAAATTGCTTGAGGTAGGTCTATGGCCACTAGAGAGTTATAGTGTCTTTTAGAATCATCCAGTCATTGTTGTGCCAAAATAATAACAACGAGGAAAGGCATTACATCATCCCAGTGATGGCTATGGCTGGTTTATGCTCAAAATTCCATAGAGATCTTGCCAATATCTTTTTTTTTAATCTTCCTGTCACAGCATGGCACATATGCTACTCTGCTACTTTTTGTTAGTTTGCTTATAGTCTTAGAAGGAGGGAATGGAAAAACATTTTAACTGGGCCCAAGTTCCTTGGAAGGCAAATCTGCCACCATGATTTTTTTCTCACCTCACTTTAGATGAAGGAGAGCTATGAATTGTATTCATCTATATCTTGGTCCACAACATGTTCTTTAAGTGTACTTTGATTGGCATCCACAAGACCACCTGCTACACGTTGATTTTTTAAAAAAACAATATTATTTTAATCAAAGAAAAAAAAGATACAATTCTGCAAAGCATCAGCTTCAAATGTCATTTATTTCCAGCAATGTCTGTGATACAGGCTCCAAATTGACCCAGAAGCATTTTAGAAAACAAAACGTTGGAACCTGCAGGCTTGGTGCTTTGTGTTGCTTTGGTCCTTTACAGGACAATCTACCCAATTGCCCAGAGGGGAAAAAAACAAGGCTAAAAGAGGGTGTTATGGAAGGCAGAGGAGCAGGTAGGAAACAATTGTTAATCAGTTTCCCATTAAATAATTTATTATTGTCTGTGCCTGTCACTTCAGCCATTTTCATTTCAGCCATTTTCTTCAGAGTGCTTAAAACATGCTGCCAAAATTCCAGATGTGCTACAAGTGTGGAGAGCTTGACCTATGTCTTTTATATGTATGTTTTTTTTTTCTGTAATTAAAGAGTTTTTTTGTCAGGGTTGAACTACAAAGTAATGTGTTTTCATGAGAGGAAGAGAACATAAAAATATCCCTGCTGAATTTGGTCTAAGCTTAACTAGCAAGTCTTCTGTTTCATACAGTGACCTACCAGATGCACCTAAGAAGCCCGAAATTGGGTGTCAGCAGCCCGCGGCTCTGGAGCTGCATGTGTCTCTTTGGGCTCCCTGTTGGTGATCCCACCACTGGCTGGCCATGCCCCTCACCCTCTCCTCCCAGTCATTTCTCACCCGGCCTGAGAAGGTAAAACACAAAAAAACAGAAATGAGAGGGAGGGAGGAGGAGAGAGAGAGTCCCATTTCCCTCAGAAAACACCAGGAGCCACAAAACCTGGGTAGGTGTGGTGGGGACTTGTCATGTGACTGGTGGGAGTGATGTTGAGTTGGCCACGCCCACCCAGGTTTTGAGGCTCCCGGTGTTTTCTTTTCTGTGGGAAATTGGTCCAAATGCCTCTTTGAGTGTTTCAGGTTGCAAACCCTTGCCCTAAATGGAAAACCAGGAGATCCTTTCTTTCCCATTGCTGCTCTTGGGTTTTTAGTATATAGTGGTGGGTTGTTTCTATAGCTCCTACCCGGTTTAATAGACATGGATAGATTTGTTCTTTCTTTTTTTTTTCTCCTACAGGAACTGGTCAAACTTCTCCAAAAAGCTCTGGAGGCAGCTCAGCAAGAGAAACGAGAGTCCTGCAGATATCTGGTCACAGCTACGGAAAAAGACAGGCTGGAATTGGTGCGCCACAAAGTGAGGCATATTGCTGAGCTGAACAAGCAGGTTCAAGTGCTAGAGATGGAAAAGAGAGACCTGGAGCAGGAGGCTGCTTTGAAGGAGGAGCACATCAAGGAGCTGAGAGAACACGTGCAACTCTTGATGGACAAAAACGAAGCCAAGCAACAAGTCATCCTCAAGCTGACAGAACAGCTCACTAGAGAGATGACCGACTCCATTACTGAGGCAGACAGCATCATGACCGAGACCTTGTACAAGCAACAGGAAAAGATTGAACATCTAAAGGTACTCATTAGAGGAATTCACAATTGGGCTCAAATTGTATAATCAGTACAATATTTTTTTGTTTTGGCTATATAGCCTTTCACAATTTCACACTTATTGTTTTGCCAATGATATGATTGTGTGTTGCATATATATGTAGACACTTCTAAAAATAGAACAGGATTGGGCAACAAATACACTCTCCTAAAAACTACTGACTCATATTTAGTTTACAAATTTGTAGCAGTTACAATAGAGAAACCATGTTTAAAATGGATGGGCAATACTTGCCTAATTTTTAGGAAACCGGAGATGCAGTTCAATTAAGGTTTCCCTGCCTGACAATAAAAAGCTGATGCTATTGTAGTCCTTGGCTTTTCCCTATACATGAAAAACCTAGAATAAATCTATGTAAATTAGGATATCTTATGCATAGTTGTTGACATAAAATAATCCATGTAATTGACAATGGCACAATGATCTTTGTAAGACTCATGCAAGCAGCAGAGCTACGATAAGCCCACAATTTACACCATGCTTCATGCAAAGTTAACTTTTATATATTTGTTAACATGGGCAGACAGGCAATGCATAGCCTTAAAGGCTGCAGCCAAAACTCAGAACTGATGTCGTAACGCAATGTGGTCACATGACATTGTGCTTAACGACTCACTACTTCACTTAACGATGGAGTTACCAGTCCCTATTGCAGTTGGTAAGCGAAGACTATCTGCACCATAGCCTCTTGAAATAAGTTTTAAACAGCATTTTAAATGAACTGATAAAACCTTATAGATTATAGATGTCTAGCATATTTGCAACAGTACACATAAAAGGTTTCTTGTGGATGATCTAAGAATATGGGAATTGACTGTTCCTCTTTGATTGGTCCTAAGCCAGAGAGGGCTTTAAACAGTATCTGACATGAATATCCATCAATCTGCCTTAAGTCCTCAGTTGTATGGGGCTTATTTCCCATTGGCTAATCCACATTAATACTGTAAGTCATTGTTCTATTTATCTGTGTGGCTGTAACATTTTCTACACAGACATTAGACAAGTGAAGGCTTATGTTACATTTTGGGCCACAATGTTCTTGACCAATTTGGAAAACCAGGGAAGGTAAAAATAAAAATAAATAAAAAGAGACTGATCCTTCCTTCCTTCCTTGATTCCTTCCTTCCTTCCTTCCTTCCTTCCTTCATTCATTCATTCATTCATTCATTCATTCATTCATTCTGTTAAGTTTGGAGAATAATGGAGACCAGACATCTGACCAGTGACTTCAACTCTTTAATAATAGTAAATAGAACAGAACAGAGCAAGGCTATGGGCAACAGCAACCCTTTTGTAGGGTTAGCTGCTACCTTATTAACCAATGACATGTGCAACAAGTTCAAACTTATAACCAATGAGAAGTGTCAAAATAGTGGCCAATCAGGGACTAGTTATGGACCAATCCCTAGTTGTTGTATAAGGACCAATCAGGTGTGCAGGTTTCCAAACCCTGATTTGCATTTATGCTAGTAACTTTTATTGATTCACAACACCCCTCCCCCTTGGGTTCCATTTGAGGGGAGCTGTAATAAAATCCTCAAGATAGACAGGCCGTTTGGTCTGTCTGGATGATTTCCGTGGCTCCACCGGTTTTGGTCTAAGGTCCGGTTCCGGTGGAGCGTTTGGATGATCTTTATTAAAGTCTGTTTCGCTGCACGGTGATTCCGTGCTGTTTTCACTGTGGTTGTCTCCGCTACTCCGTGTTTCTTCGGGGTTTTGCAGTTCGGTTTCCCCCGTATTAAAATTCCCTGAAAAAGTCAATTCCCTCCCCGCTTCAAGTTCCGGTGTTTCGCTGGGCCGTAGGGTTTCCGTTGGCCTGCTATTTGTCATATCAAAGTCAATTTCCTCGATATTTCCTCCCCCTTGAGTTTGTGAACCCGGGGAGTCATGGGCGCTGGGTGGTAATCTCGATCGGAGTTGGTCTATGTGGCGTTTCCACACCCTCCCATCGTCTGTTAGCAGGCGGTAAGATCTAGGCCCGGTAAGGTGGGTAACGGTTGCGGGTATCCATAACGGGTCGCCGGAAAAGTTTTTGGCAAAGATTAAATCGCCTACCTTAAATTCCCGGCATTTGCTGCTGGAGCCGAAGGGCTTTTTCGGTGCGAATGCGGGATGGAGCCGGTCAAGGTGCGATCGCAGTTTCCGCCCCATAAGAAGTTCAGCGAGTGTTTTGTTGGTCACGCTGTGGAGCATGATGTGCTGCAACAAGAGAATTCGATTGATTTTTTCGTCGATGTTGCCAAATTCCATTTTGTGAAGGGTCTTTTTTACAAATTGTACCATGCGTTCTGCACGTCCATTCGCTGCAGGGTGCGCGGGCGAGGTTAGCTCATGGCGGATGCCCCGATCAGCAAGATATTGTTCAAAGGGTAATGCAGTAAACTGTGGGCCGTTGTCCGAGACCAACACGTCCGGAAACCCGTGTGTGGCAAATAGTCTGTTTAATTTATTGATAACTGAGTCCGTTGTAGTTGTGTTCATTCGATGGATCTCGAGCCAATTTGAATAGGCGTCGACAGTAATAAGGAAAGTGTGTCCTTTGGTAGGTCCCACAAAGTCAATATGAATACGGGACCAAGGTCCCCTCGGAGTTTCCCATTCGGTTGGGCTTGCTTTAGGCGGGGCGTTGCTGACGTCCTGGCAACGTTGACAAGTAGCGACCCAGGCCTCGATTCTTTTGTCGATTCCCGGCCAACAAGCGTAGCTGCGTGCGAGTGCTTTCATCCGCACGATACCCGGATGTCCTTCATGCAATACCGCCAAAACAGTTTGTTGCAATTTGCCAGGGATTACGACTCGATCGCCCCACAAGATACAGCCTTTTTGGGAAAACAGTTCGGTTTGGCGGGCTTTGAAAGGCGCCCATTCTGATGCTATTTGGTCTGTCGGCCACCCCCGTTCAACCCAGCGTAGTATGTGTTGCAGAACTGGGTCACGTTTTGTTTCAAAGGCAATGTCTCTAGCTGTCAATGGTGGTACATGTACAGCTTCGATCTGTAGTGTTGAGATGTTTGGAGCTGGATCTACAACAGAGTCTGGGAGTGGCGTTCTGCTCAATGCATCAGCGTGGAGAATTGATTTCCCCGGGCGATGTTGCAAGGTGTAGTTGTAGGCCGCCAAGAATTCAGACCAACGGGTCATTCTGGGGGACAATATATACGGGGTTGGTTTATTACCCGCAATGATCCCTAGTAGTGGTTTATGATCAGTAATTATCGTAAATGCACGGCCATAAACATATTCATGAAATCTTTTAACTGCGGCCACAATAGCTAAAGCTTCTTTGTCCAGCTGACTATAATTTCTTTCAGCTTTAGCTAAGGTTCGCGAAAAAAACGTGATGGGGGCTTCCGCTCCATTTGGTAATACGTGGGCCAGAATTGCCCCAACCCCAAAAGGTGATGCGTCACACGTGATAGTGAGCGGAAGAGTCTCGTTGTACTGCATAAGTACAGAATCAGAAGTTAGCAATTTCTTCACTTGTTGGAAAGCATATTGTTCCCGTTGTCCCCAAACCCACGTTGCTTTTTTGTCTAATAGTCTATGCAATGGTTCAGCTACCGTTGCTTTGTGGGGTAAAAAGACATTATAGAAATTGATAAGTCCAAGGAACGCCTGTAGGTCTGCCTTGTTCCTTGGAGTGGGGGCCTTTTTAATCGCCCTTAATTTGTCTTCGGTGGGATGGATTCCTTGGCTGTCCAGGAGGTATCCCAAAAATTCTACTTTTTTGGTACATAACTGGCATTTATCTTTTTTAACTCTGAGGCCTGCGTTTTGGAATCTTCGTAAAACCTCTCTGAGTCGTTTTTCTAGAATGTCTTTGTTAGGGGTGGCGATGAGTACATCGTCGAAATATGGTACGACCCCTCTTATCCCTTGTAACAACCTTTCCATTAAGCTCTGAAAGATTCCGGGGGCAACGCTTACCCCGAACTGGAGCCGGTTGCATTTAAATGCGCCCCTATGCGTTACGATAGTTTGCGCCTCTGCCGTGGTCGGATCTACAGGCAATTGTTGATACGCCTGGGCTAGATCTAGTTTAGCGAAAACTTTCCCGCCACCCAGGGAATGGAGCAAGTGTTGCACTACCGGCACTGGATATGCACTTTGCTGCAGTGCGTGGTTTAAGGTGGCCCGGTAGTCTCCGCAAATTCTTAGTGACCCATCAGGCTTGATAGGCGTCACTATAGGGGTTTCCCAGCGGGCGTGGTCGGTGGGCTCCAGCACGCCCTGCGCTATTAGCTTATCGAGTTGTTCGTCGATTTTAGGCTTCAAGGCGAACGGCACCCGACGCGGTTTAAGGCGGATGGGTGCTACCTCAGGGTTCAAGTTAAATGAGATCGGGGTCCCCTTGTACTTGCCTAGTCCGTTTGCGAAAACGTCTTGGAATTCTTGCACAAGTGCCTCCTCCCAATCGCTGCTCTCGGCCCGGTGGACTCCGGCTACAGTGATTCCGAGCAGTCTGAACCATTGAAGGCCTAAAAGACTAGGCCTGTCGCGGTCCACGACAGTCAGTGGTAGTGCGACGGTGTGGTCCTTGAAAGAGACCTGGAATCTGCGGGACCCGACGACGGGAATTCGGTTACCCTGATAGTCTTTGAGTATAACCCTTTGAAGGTTAAGGTCTTGGCGGCGAATCGTTGGAATGAGCTGTTGGAGCGTTTTCCACGACACCATCGAGAGGGAAGATCCCGAGTCCACCTCCATCACACAAGGTTTGTTTTCGATGGCGACCTTTACTCGGATTTTCCCGGCATCAAGGGATGTAGCGTGGCCTATGGTGATTGTTTGGTGGGTCTCTTCCCGCCTGGTTTCTTCACGCCTGGTGGAAGTGGTGGACGGTTTGTTTCTGTAGGAGTGGTTTCCCCATTGGTGGTTCAGTTTTTCTCGGTGTGTGCCGAAGAATCCGGAAGACTGGCATTCGGCCTGTCGGGGTTTGGAGTTTTGTTTGCTTCTGCAAACCTTTGCGATGTGACCTCGTCTCCCGCAAATGCGGCAGAGTGCATCGAGGAATTTGCAGCTGGATCGTGGGTGATTCGCCCCACATCCTGCACACAGTCGGGATGGGGGTTGTGTGAACTGGTCTCGTTCCGTTCGGAGTCGGTTGACCTCTTCCTCATCGCTTTCTGATGGGGATTCTAGGTCTTCGTGGTGAGTCGATACCGGGTGTCTCTCTGAGCGAGGCGAGGTATCTTTGGCGAGTTGACGTAGCGGTGCGTTGGTGCGGCGCATTCGGGCTGCCGACTTCTTGGTCGCCTCCGCTGCCGTGGCTTCTTTAAGGGCATCGGTGAGGCTGATGTCCCCTTTAGCCATAATTTTGCTCTGGATCGTGCCGTCTTCTAGGCCCAGAACCAGGCGGTCCCGGAGGGCTTCTTCTAAGTCGGAGAATCCGCAGAGGCCTCCAAGGTTGCGGAGGTCCGCGATGTAATTGGCAAGGCTTTCGCCCTTCCGTTGGTCCCTCTGGTAATATTCGTGTCTTCTGACTAAGGTTGGCACGGTGGGCGCGTAGTGAGCCTGTAGCAAAGGCTCGAGGACATCCCAGTCCATCGCTTTTACTTCGGCTGGCTTGGCAAGCGATTTTGCCATTTTAAACACGGTAGGCCGCAGTGAGTTAGAAAGATAGCTCTTTTTTTGCCGGTTGTTGCATCTTTCAAATTGTTGGTCTCCAGAAACATCTGCAACCTATCCATGTACGATTCCCAGTCTTCGGTTTCTGGGTTGAATGGAGCGGGTGGTACGGCACCGCTGGCCATGTTGCCGTTGATGATGCGTGTTCGACCACGTGCTCTGTTGGTTGCTCTGTAACTCAGTCAGCTCTTCGGTCTCCGTATCCCATCCTCGTCGCCAGTGTTAAGTTTGGAGAATAATGGAGACCAGACATCTGACCAGTGACTTCAACTCTTTAATAATAGTAAATAGAACAGAACAGAGCAAGGCTATGGGCAACAGCAACCCTTTTATAGGGTTAGCTGCTACCTTATTAACCAATGACATGTGCAACAAGTTCAAACTTATAACCAATGAGAAGTGTCAAAATAGTGGCCAATCAGGGACTAGTTATGGACCAATCCCTAGTTGTTGTATAAGGACCAATCAGGTGTGCAGGTTTCCAAACCCTGATTTGCATTTATGCTAGTAACTTTTATTGATTCACAACACATTCATTCATTTCTTCCTTGTTTCGATCTCAGTGTCCATCAATTTATACCTAATTGCATAAACATTTCAGGGTGAGGGTTACTTTACATGCTTTTTCATGTATTTTTCTCAGGATGATCTTGAGGCATACAAGACTCAGAACCAATTTCTGAACTCCGAAGTCCACCAAGTTAGCAAAATATGGAGCACTGTGGCACAGAGAGAAAAAAACCTTCTGATGAAGGTAAGGAGCCAGGCTATTTGACTCCCAGTGGTGTCTTGATTTTCTTCTTCCATTTTTAATTTGATTTTCAAATATATAGGAAGTTTTCTACTTGTCTTTCAAACACAGAAACTTTGGGAACTCTTTTTATTTGCTTATTTCTCATGTCACTGGCATGTGACTGTTCATATGATACAGTTTGAGGAGGGCCGCATGACTGGCTTCACCCCAATTTTGGGTTCACTGTGAATTCAGAGATATGGAAAAAAAACATTTTACCCACAAACAATGTGTAGATTGGTTCAGAGTGATTGCAACATTTCAGGATTCTCTAGATGTACATAGACAAAATAAACGTGCCATCAAATTGCTGCTACAGTTAACTCAAATAATTCCAGTTGTAACGTAGTCAACAATAAATACTGAGTCTGCTAAAAAGCCATTACTTTTTATTCACAAATAAACACAAAATATATATTTAGGGAAGGTGTGTTCAAAAAGAGCATACCTTTTGAAAAAAAAACATATTAACAGCTAGGTGAATGTAAACTGGAAACCATCAAATTGTAAAGAATTAAGTTTTTAATTTACAAAAATTGCAATCCTGAGAGGAACCAGACTTGGGTTGAGAGGCACAACCCAATGGAAGCTTAAGTAGATAATTGAGTATAGGAGGTTCATGATGGTAAGAAACACCCATCTTTGGAAAGTTGCTAATGCCTGTCTCCCCACCCCTATAATTCTGTGATTAAAGCATCAATATAAAGTCCACATATCAACTGCTTAGCCTCATAAACTGATGATATGAGCTATCATCTTCAAAAAGAGGTTGAATGGTCATCTGAGATCGTCTGACGGGCGACCAAGGAGCCTTCACTGAGCAGGGGGCTGGACCTGATTACTTATAAGATCCCTTCCTACTCGATGATACTATGGATTATCATCTAAGTAGGCCCCTAGCTTCACATCCAAAATGAGGCAATGCAGTTAAAAGCAGCCTTGATGATTAGTGGATGGGATGATCAGTGGAAAATAGAGAATCCTTCATTTAACCCAATGATGCTACCAATTCAATGGCTGGTTGCTAAATCCTTATGAAGAAAAGTAACACGCTGCAGTTGTTACTTTTTGGGGAAATATGGCACGGGCAGAATTTTTTTCACCATTCCTGAAGCTGACTGGCACCAACCCCTATTGAATTCCCACAGCAGACAAAGTGTTTCAAAGCTAGCAGCATGTGTGTCTTTGTAATACCTTCCATGTATTCATCTCAGAAGGCCTTACAATCACTTCCTCTTCAAAAATATCATGAAATAATGAAAAGGTTAACAGAATTGCAGATTTCTTGCAATGACAACACTAATGGGGGAAAAATAATCCCCATCTAATAAATATGCAAAACAACGTATAGGTATACTACCCTGTTTCTCCAACAATACGGCCTCCCCCAATAGGAAGTCCCAGCATGTTTTATAGGCATGAAATGAAATTAAGCCCCTCCCCCCAAATTAAGGCCTATATTAAAACATGCAAAATGGGGGGGAATGGTGGGGGGGCTTGCCGTTAGGAAGTACTTTTGTTGCACACCTGGATATGGTGCTGCCTGCGTTGACCCCGATACGAAGTGCCCCACCAACGCCGAGGTCAACATCCAAGTCATCGCCGCCCGCCCGCCCGAAGATGCAAGGGGGGGGAATTAAGTCACCCCCGAAAAGACGGCCTAGCCATTTTTTCGGGGCTCAAAAAAAAATAAGACCCGGCCTTATTATATGAGAAACACGGTACATACTATATGAGGGGTGCGATGGCCTAGCAGCTGGGCTTGTCAACTGGAAGGTTGCAGTTTCAGACTGCAAGTGCTGCGGGATGGGGTGAGCTCCCATTCCTGCCCTAGCTGCTGCCCACCTAGCAGTTTGAAGGCATGCGAACTGCAAGTAGGTAAATGCCACTTCGGTGTGAAAGTAATAGCATTCTATGCCCCCCTTGGCGTATAGCCATGCTGGCCACATGACCATGGAAATGTCTTTGGATAATGTTGGCTCCCTCAGCTAGGAAACGGAGATAAACACTGCCCCCTAGAGTCAGACCCAACTAGGTAGGGCAGGGGTCCCCAAACTTGGCGACTTTAAGACTTGTGGACTTCAACTCCCAGAATTCACAGGTGTCCCTCTCTTCCTTCCTCCCCAGGTTTGTTCTGAAGCAGCATTTCTGAAGCAGAAATTCTGGGAGTTAAAAGTCCACAAGTCTTAAAGTTGCCAAGTTTGGAGACCTCTGAGATAAGGGGAATCCTTTACCTTTACATAACTATATACAGGTCAATGGAACTACTACAAGACACATGAATGTATACTGACAAGATCAGAGTCCTGTCTCAAACAAATGATTTTAATACTCCCTACTTTAATCTGTAGATGGTTACTTTATTTTTATTTATTTTTTTAAAAAACTTCAACATCAGAACACTTTCAGAATGAATCCAAGAGGCAGATGGAACAATCCTCTATTTTGACAACCATTTTTTTCTCTCTTTGTACGGCAGTGTGCTCAACTGCAAGCCCACAATTGCCAGATTGAAAGCAAGTACCTGATGTCTCTACGGACCTTTCAGGGGCTGCCGGATTTGGCGAAAGAACACATGGCATTGGTGACAGAACTCATTGAAGAGGCACTGCAGTGGGATATGAAGGAAGAAACCCTGATTCCTATCCAGCTAAGCCCAGTCAAGTAAATTACTAGTAGGACCATTTGTGAAAGAGGCATGGCATGCCTATGGAGTGGATCAGTGATGTCTTCAGTGGGGTGGGGAAGAAAGCAAGATTGGGGGCTTTTCTCCCTGTGTTGTAACATTGCACACCCCTCCAAAGGGGGCGGAGCTTCCAGTGCAATGCCACAATGCTACTTCCACCATTCTAATGAAAGCAACGAGAGTTCGCAGATGGGATAGTTTGTATTTGTCCCAGGCTCACTTTGGCTAGAAGCAAGAATTTCAGATTCATTCTTTCAACTGATGGTCCACTGATAATGCTACATGTCCTTATTCTGCTTTTGCAGTAGTGTAGGTTAAGCTGAAGTAAGATAACTTAGCATTAGTTGCTGGTCTTTACTTGTGTATTCAAACAGCAGGTAAATGTAGATCACTTTGCTTGCCTTGTTTTTTTTCAGAGTTTTTTGGTCCGTGTTATTGTAAAAGCTAAAAAAACAATCATTTACTCTGTAAGGACTAATTTTTATTTAAGTGCACAATTATCAAATGCTAGGCTTCCAAAATACACCTCCATTTTTTAAAAACATTGTTACAATATTTGTACAATATGCTTCAAGACAATTCACATTTTCCCCACCAGCATGGCCTAATAATTTGTCATTTCCCTAATTCTGTTTTTTTCCCACTGTTTAGTCAATATGATGATTATGGGTTTATGACAGTTCCTGAATATGAAGCTGCAGACTGGAAGCTCTTGGCCAAAATCCAGGCCCTGGAGATCAAATGCACCAATCTGAACAAGGAGACCACGGAGAAACCTTTCTCTGAGCGATGGAATAACCTCGGGGAACTGACTCCCTCCTCGGAGCTAAAAAGCTTATTGCGGTGTGGTGTCCCAGCAGTGCATCGCCAGAGGGTCTGGAGGTGGATTATCAGCCACCGGTTAAAGCAAACACGCTCTGCTGGTCATTACCACAATTTACTCAAGAAGTGTGAAAATGCTGAGCACCCAGCTTCCCAGCAAATTGAACTGGATCTGCATCGCACGCTGCCCAATAATAGACATTTTATGTCACCGACTTCCCAGCTTATTCCCAAACTCAGAAGAGTCTTACTTGCATTCTCCTGGCAAAATCCAACCATCGGCTATTGCCAAGGACTGAACAGGTAGCCTGCTTACGTTTCTTATACTTCTTCATTTCAAATGTAGCAAAGTTTTTAAAAGAATCCTCTGGGTCTTCAAGCGGTTTTTGTTGTTATTTCCATTTTGCTGTTATTTTCAACATTGAAAATTCAGATTTGTAACCATCTGAGGTGTCACAGGTTTAATGTGTAATATGCTTACCTTCTTTAGTTATAATGGTGTCTTACTCATCCTAGACTGGCTGCCATTGCCTTGCTGATCCTAGAAGAGGAGGAGGAAGCTTTCTGGTGCTTAGTTCATATCACAAATAATTTAATGCCTCACGATTACTACAGCAACACATTAATAGGCTCGCAAGTAAGTCTGAGCTCCCTTCTGTGCCGAGGAACAGGATAATTACAGAATTTTATACTGTGAGAAATAAGTAATTTTGAGAATTGCTTATATTATAGCAGAACCTATTGGAAGGATCTACAGAGTAATAGAGTTGGAAGGGACCTTGGAGGTCTTCTAGTCCAACCCCCTGCTCAAGCAGGAGACCCTATACCATTCCAGACAAGTGGCTGCCCAGTCTCTTTTTTAAAGGCCTCCAGTGATGGAGCACCCACAATTTCTGAAGGCAAGCTGTTCTACTGGTCGATTGTTCTCACTGTTAGGGAAATTCTCCTTAGTTCTCGGTTGCTTCTCTCCTTGATTAGTTTCCATCCATTGTTCCTTGTCTTGCCTTCTGGTGCTTTGGAAAATAGGTTGACCCTCCGCCCGCTTCTTTGTGGCAGCCCCTCAAATATTGGAACGCTGCTATCATGTCACCCTCTATCCTTCTTTTCTCTAGACTGGCCATACTCAATTCCTGCAACCGTTCTTTATATGTTTTAGTCTCTAGGCCCCTAATCATCTTTGTTGCTGTTCTCTGTACACTTTTCAAAGACTCAACGTCTTTTTTATAATATGGTGACCAAAACTGGATGCAGTATTCCAGATGTGCTCTTACTAAAGTTTTATAATGCGGTACTAATACTTCCCGTGATCATGACTCAATCCCTCTTTGTATGCAACCAAGGATTGCACTCGCTTTCTTGGCTGCTGTTGCACACTATTGGCTCATATCTAAGTGATTGTCCACTAGAACTCCAAGATCCCTCTCACAATTATGGCCTTTGACCCATATACTGTATATGGATCTCATACACTACAGCCAATCTTATTGGAATAGCTACAGTATGTAAGACTGTATGTTTGTTTCAAAGTGCTGGAAATAATATTTAAAAAGGCAGGAGCAGCTAAAAGAACTCATTTTTCCAAATAGATCTTCTTCTCTATAAGAATGATCAACCTGTGAGACCATAGAAATGAAGAATAGCCTTTCTAACGTAAGTGCTTATCACTATTGATATTTTGCCAAATCCAGGTAGATCAAAGAGTTTTCAAAGACATCTTATCAGAGAAGCTTCCCAGGCTGACAGCACACTTAGATCAACTTCAAATTGACCTGTCCTTAGTGACCTTTAACTGGTTCCTGGTTGTTTTTGTCGACAGTCTTATCAGTGATCTTCTCCTCCAAGTTTGGGATGCTTTCCTCTACGAAGGTGCAAAGGTAAGAAAGTTATACCCATCCACAAAGTTGGTTAAGTGTCTTCATATATTTCCAGCAACTAGACCAACTTAGACCAATTTTCTGGACATGTTTATTGAATCTTTACTATCCTTGTAAATGATTCAGGTATGACTACATCCTTCCAGTAATATACTACATGAAATCAATCAAGTTTCTTTTTGCCCCAGGTGATATTCCGTTATGCACTTGCAATTTTTAAATATAATGAAGAAGCAATATTGAAGATTCAGGACAATCTGGAATTCTATCAATATCTTCGTTTTTTCACCAAAACTATCTGTGATGGCAGGTAAGAATGTTTTTAGAAGCCAAAGGCAGTGCAGGAAAACCAATACACATCAAGTAGTTTAAATAACATAGTGTTGAGGCAAATGGGAACTTTTCAGGCTGACACCTGGTATAAAACGAGTTTCTATTCCTTTATTAAGCCACACCAGCCCTAATTCCTTGAGTTGTTGCCCAATCTGGAAATAGCACAATGGTCAGACAGCAAACTCACTAACTCCAAGGAACGGGCTTCTACTTGTATGATGTGAAAAGGATGCTTGAGCACCAATCAAGTAAATAGACTTTGTTAATATCCTTTTTCCTTCTCATTTCAATATGCTCACCCATGGGTTTTGAGTTTCGGTATTTCTGATCTCTAAATCTTTGTCTCTGTGTTTTTCTAATTTGATTGACCACCAAATCTAATATCATGGGTGTCTCTGAGGATATAGCAAAGGGAGATTAATAATGATGACAGTACGATGGCATCTCACAAATACCGTGCTGCGCGTACTTGCAGTATGTCAGGATGCAAGCACATAATAACAGCATTTGAGAGATAATGTCATCACACAGGTGTCACTTTGGCAATCATCGTACTTTGCTGCAGATGTTTTGTCTAATATAAAGCTTCAATTAACTGCATATTTAAAAAAAGCTTCTCAGGAAATCTAAATTAGTGTGATCTAAGAGAGGCCTTTGGCAGAACAGCACAAACACGTTAATCTTTGGACGGGCACTTTGCAAAGCTGCTCTATTTTGAAGAAGGACATTTCTCTCCCAAATGGATGTTCAGCCAGAGTTACCAGGTTTCTATTTCTTGTTTGGCTCATGTAGTTCTCCTCTTCCAGAAAGCTGATGACCATCGCCTTCGGGGATATGAATCCGTTTCCCATGAAGCTGCTTCAGAATCGACGCGGAGTGCACAGATTAAAAGTGGAAGCTGAGCTGAGAGAACTGGAGCAACTAAAAGCCCAGTATGTAAAGGAACAGGCTGAACAGGCAGCCATCCAGCCAGATGGACCCACAAGTGAGGAGGAAGAAGAGATATAACCTTCGCTTACTCTCTGGTCATCTGTAAACATTGCCTTTGTTTGAAACATAAAGGCAGCAGTTATTTATGATAAACACTTGGCACCTGGTGCAATGAATATAGATGTACTGGATAGTCTGCAAGTCCACTGCAAATAAGGGTATATCGTGCCTTATTGTCATTATGACTTTTCTGGATATTTTGTGGTGCGGAAAAAACCCTGGATTGCATTCCGCTAGAGATTTTCTGTTACTCCGACTCTAAATTATAAGAATCCCCTTAGAACTTAGTATGATGTACAAATACAATCACTAGGGTTTGTGAACCCTAATTTATGTCAGGCCTGCACAACTTGTAGAGAAGAAAGGACCACGTTGATAAATTAAAAATAATTGCAAGCTGCGTAAGAATACCCGATGCATCAATCAGCTAGCAGAGTGCTGGTTGTTGGCAACATCACTAAAGCCTGGAGGCACTTGGCAGTGTGTCTTTTGGGAAAGCAACAGGAAATCCTTCAGGATGGTGGTGCTTTTTTGGTGGCAGTGAATTCATTGACCTTTTTAAAAATGCTAGTGGACCTTCAAGGCTGCTTGCCGGGCCACATATGGCCCACAGGCTGAAAATGCAGGGGCGATTTATGGTTTGCTAGTACCTGTGGTTCATTCCAGTGTGGCTTTTTCAGCCAACCATGGGTGAAGCAAAATGTAGATTAACCCAATGTATGAGCCACACTTTTAATATGCATGTACAAAGTTTCCCCTTTTTTGCTTTCCTTGTTTTATAGCAGGCTTTCTAATCAATTGGCTTTCCTGCAGAGATTGGACTAGAATAGATCACTGTTTCTCAAGCTTAGCAAATCTGACCTCCTGTTGGTCGGGGAACTCTGGGAGTTGAAGTCACTTTTAAATTGCTGAGATAGGAAAACACGGAACTAGATTATTCTTGGGATCCATTCAGAACTGCCATTCTGTGATTATATTAGACAACCGATGACCTCTTAGGGTTGTTTCAGAGATATTTCCTTACCGCATTCAGAAATATTGTTTCAGAGAGATTTCCTTCACACATTTCTCAATGCCTTTTTAACAGTGGTGCAGCTTCTAGTGTACTTGAACAGGTCAGGTCGTAAAAATCCAGGGATATATTCAGAGACGTGTCCGCCTTGAAAGTAACCCATATTGAACTGTACAGCGCAGTCATAGAGTCACTGACAGGGAATGTTTTAAGACAGTATATATTATGTTTTATAAAATTTCACAAATTTCAATCCCATAGAAGTCATAGACCCTGGATTTTGGATACGTTCTATAAGGTAGCTCATCTGAGGTACCTTAGTTCAAAAAACTTAAGTTCCCTGTGAGGAACCATCCCACCTAGTCAAAGGTTACGAGAACAAGAATTTTAGTAGTGTACAGACAGTTAAATCAGATTTCAGAAGATTTGTAGATTTCAGAATTGAAGAGGGGAGAAAAGTATCCGCACAGTAAGGTTCTTTCTTAGTGAGATTTGATGGTATTTTTTTCAGCACCTTATCCACAAATTTTCATGGCTGGGGCATAGAATAGAAATAGGATGGGAAGACCTAGTCCGATCCCCTGTTCAAGACAAGCGGGCCTTATACCATCCCTGTCAAATTGTTGTCCAGTCTATTTTTGAAAACCTCCATGATGGAGCACCCACAACTCCAGGAGGCAAGCTGTTCCATTGATTAATTGTTCTCATTGTGCATCTTTTTTTCTCTTTTTCTGTTACTAATAGATAATTGTAACACCTTGAATCCAGGTCCTCACCCAAAGAGATAAAGAGTCAAGGAATGTATTCCTTAGGTTAAAAGCAAGAATGCAAAAGGCAAGGGGTAGGGTGGAGGTTGCCCATGTTAGGGTTGCATTTCCCACTACCAGCTTCTTCCTACAACAGCCTCGGTGGTGTTTCCTGCTTCTTCAACCCCGCAAATCTTCCTACCGCCTTGTAATCATTCTGTACTCCGTCCCCTAAATCTTTTCCAGTTCATTCAGTCATTAATTTTGAAGCTATTTATTTATTTATTTATTTAAATCGAAGGAGCAGCAAGTCAGATGTTTTGGTCCCCCAAAAGCTTCCCCCCCCCCCCCCCCACCTTTAACAGAGTGGCCATAACAAAGTAAAAGGACTTGTGTGACTTTGAAATTGAGGGAAGACACAGGAAGCTGTGCATGAAAATGCATGAAAACTTGCAGAAGTTTATTGTTAAAAGTTATCTTAGGTGTCGTACCTCCCCCTGCTGATAGGTTGTGGAACTGCAAAAAAACACCCCACCCTACAACTAAATAAAAAATAAAATGGCTTAGTTCACTTTAATCCCAACCTTGTCCATTTTTAGAGTGTTGTATATAGCATGCTGTGCAAAGCCCATCCCTGTGGTTAAACAACAGTGGACATAGAAAGAATATTTCTTCATAGTCTGCTCCATGATGGATTTAAAACCTCAAGAATTGCTCTTGTTAGCTCAAGATCCTATCTGTGTGTATATTAATGAGGTAGTTAATCAAGTGGTGCATATTGGTCATTCATTTCACCCTCATCAATTATGTAAACATTTGCCAATCTGGAATCTCCCATTCTATGATTGGGGCTTAACTTAATAAGTGCAATTGTCTGTGCTCAAACTAGCATCCTGTCTGAGAATGGAAAAGACTACAGAATACAGCCTAAGGCAGAACTTTCTGAGAAGACAAAGCCTTATGCAAGTCCTCGAGAATTGGTTAGGAGTGCTGTGCACATTTCAAAAATATCAGGGGAAACTTAAACTCAAATCTGCTGCAAGCACAACCTTTTTCTGCTTTTCCTTAAAATTTATAGCTTGTATTTGTATAATTAAAAGTTCTTCTAAAACTTCAACTCTATGTGACGCTTAAAACAGCAATATCAGTCCTAAAAAGAGGGTTGCTTTCACAAAGACCAGAGATATGTCGTGTTCTTATGAGCATTTCTTCCAATTTATTTTTTTTTTGAAATTTGCCCAGCCCAACGATCTATTGACTGAGCAAAAACTTCTGATTGCTCTAGCAAATTGTCTTCAAAAGACTAGTGCAAATGCAGATTTATGACAGACATTTGTTGCTGTCTTAAACCAGATCCAGAAGAGAGACAGTAGAATGAATGGATTTTTCTGTCCTGTCTGGCCAACCCTTTTTCTTACCTGGCATGACAGGTGCAAAGTATTTTATTGATGGCAACTACCAGAAGAACCCAAAAAGTGTCTGCAAAGCAAAATGATCAAAAACCTCCATAGCAGGCTCAGTGTGATAGAAGATTTATCTGAGAGCAGTATGGAAGCAGAAACTAGATGATCCTACTAAAACCAGGCTGTGTGCTTTCCTTGTAACCAGCCATACCTGATTCTCTCTGCTGCTTTGTCGTCTCTTGTAAGGGCATTGACTGTTCCTGAGCAACCAATCAGAGCCTTCCGATGATGCTTCCTTTTTCCAGAAGTCCCTAATGTTAAGGAGCTTAAATCCTCTGCTTCCCAACAGTTGCTCCCAAGGATCTGCTTCGTGTTCTCTTTACCTGATACAGAGAATGGATTCTTAAGAGATCGGCCCCATGACGTTTGTGACCCAGTGCACTTTCAGCTCAAGAGTTGTGAGATGGACAGAGGGCTACTGCCCATCTTCCTGACAGGATGTTTTTCTCTCCCATTTCTGCTAAGTTCCATAGTTGCCTATCTTTGCGACTAACAAGGTGTTTTTTTTAAAGCTTTAAATAAAGAAATTATAGTTCATGTGTATCTTGTTGGTCTGAATGAATTTTGGCCTGCTTCTTTGCAAGTTCCCTAGGGTGGCATGTACTGGTCTCGTGCCTCTCTTTTCTGATTCATAAACTGAAAGGCTTCTTTTCTTATCCATCAAAACAAAACTAAATTTGTTGTTGGTTAATCCCTCATGATTTCCATTTAAAAGGAAAAGTGGAATGCAAATGTAATAGTACTCACTGTACTGTCATTTAAATGCATTGATTGAATTTAAAGACTTGTGTTTTTTAAATTCCCTTTTAAGCCAATATGAGTATTTTGTACCATTCCTTGAGATAGTGGAGAGGCGTTAGAGAAAGGCACTGATCTCTAGAGTTCATTAAAAGCCTGAATTAGTTTTCATTCCCAGTTACTTTGATCTTTGCTTTCAGGTATAGGTTGAGAAACATCGAATTATCTTTCAAGGACTGCTTTATAAATAATTCTCATTTAATGACCATTCATTCAGTGACCATTCAAATTTACAACAGCACTAAACAAAGGACTTAAGACCAGTCCTTGTTGTTCTGGCCATCACAACATGCCCACGGTCATGTAAACAAAATCAAGACCCAGGCAAATTTATGACTGCCGCTGTCCTCCTGCAGCTGATCTTTGTTAGCGTTGCCTGCATCGCCTCTGTTGGGTTCACCACCGCCTTGGCCTCATATGAGGGAGATGCCTTGGAAATGTCCTGCAGGCTCACAGGTGGGTGCCACCATGCTATATGCCGCTACCAACCATATTCTTCTTTTATGAGCCAGCTGGGACTTCTTTTCATAAAGGCTCTATATGGCAGGTTTAAAAAAAGGCCCCAGCTGTACCATTGCAAAAGAAGGACCCAATCAATAGCGGCATGCATGAGGCAGGGACAACTGGCGGTAGTGGGTAAGTGGGCAGCCAAAAGGGTAGTGATGGCCAGCAAGTTAGTTAGATGGGGGAAGTTTAAATGGAGGCAATCCCTTATATCTTCCAAGGACGGGTTTCCATTTGGATGGGTCTTTGCCTAAAGACCATACAAAATTCTCTCAACAACAAACAGCAAGTGCGATTGCCAGAATTGCGTCAATAAGTCGACAGTCAATGTGATGTTTCACTTAAGAATCACATCATTTAGTGATGATGGTGTTGGTCCCAGTTAGGATCGTTTAAGTGAGGATTACCTGAATAGGAACAGAGATCACCGACTCATAAAGCAGAGCTGTCTATTTGTGGTGGCATCAACCACACCAATGCAAATTAGTTATTTCCAAAAACTCCTTTTATTGCTCATATACCAGGGGAAAATACTTTTGTTTCAGCTTATTTTGTTGGTTTGATTTGATAGTTATACATTATCATTCCATGCAGCCATTTGGATAACAAGATGGTAACATACCTGAATACCTCTTACTACTGTTCCCTACAACTTACAAGTTCAACTATCCCGGGTCGCATTGAGTTGGAAACAACACTGAATGAAAACTGAAGAATAATAGCAACAAAGAAATAATAAACTCACCTGTAGAATACATCTTTTAAAAATCACTTATACTTGCAAGCACTTGTGCATGTTTAGTGGTAAATGTTATTCATTAATTTTACATTCTGTTAATAAGTATTAACCATTGATAGGAGTTTTTTTTTTTACTGATTATCAGTCAAAGCATTAAAAGCTGCCAGCCTGGAAAGTGTGGCAGTGACCTCTTGTGTTCATCATTGGAACTCTATGTAGTTACCTAAAAAAAAAACTACCATAAGGATAAGATTAAATATCTACATACTTTTTTCCCCAAGAGCAACAAATATAAGCTCATAAAGCATAAAGACATCATATGGCTCTATTCCGACTGTATACACGTTCTTTTAGCTTTGGTGACTATTGTAATGTATTACTATTGGTGCCCTGAAGTGGTGGCGTATGGTGCTAAAATGATTCTATTTAAAATGTACTGCGTGTGTGAGAGACCAAAACAGTAGCCCCAGTTTTTCTCTAATATGCTGCCTTTGACTTATATAAGAAAGAAGAATCAGAATCATATAGTGGCTGGGATGTTGTACTAGGAGGAACCAGGTTGAAGTCCCTCTCAGCTGTGTTGATCCACAAATCACCTACCTTATAACTGTTCATCTGATTTTTCCTGAAAACCACCGAATTGCATCTTGTTGCAAAGGCCCAGTGTTAAAATTGTCAAGATAATCCGGAGCTTATCTTCTTAGGTGTTAGTATTTCTCCCCATATTTGAGTCGTTTGCAAATCTGATAGTATCCCTTCTTTCCCATCATCTAAGATTTATGAAAACCATTGAAGAGCTGATTCCTGCACAGAAACACAAAGTGGGAAAAATGGTTCCCACCTGATTCTAGATAAAACAGACAAATCTGGTCTGGAATTTTTGAGAATTTCCATGTCATATTCCTAAGTGTGATGTTCAGCAGACTACCTTGGATTTTATCGTTATGCAAAGTCTGTAAGTGATATAGCAAGAATTTCGTATACACACATTGCTAGGAATAATGCTAAGTGCTTTCGTACTTTATTTACTTATTTTATTTCTATATCTGTTCATCTCAAGTAATTATGGGCAGCATATACCATAAAACATAAAAAACAACTAAAAACAATTAAAACAGTATATGATTAAAATATATGGCATCAAGTAAAACTGTTGCTATGGATGTTAATACAGCCAGAAAATGGGCCCTTAACCTACTCAGGGCCAAGGTCGGGCATACAATCAAGTCTTCACAGCCTTGTAAAAGGTCAGGATGGCCAGGATTATGCTGATATTTGAAGACAGAATATTCCAGAGAGCAGGGGCTATGGCAGAGAAGGCATGCCTCTTGGTTCCTGCTAGTCAACGTTCCTTGGCTGATGGGACCACAGCATGCCCAACCTGCCTGATCGAATGGGGGGAAACACCTGGAAGAAGACAGTCTGTGAGGTAACCCGGCCCCAAGCCATGAAGGGCTCTGAATATGATAACTAGAACCTTGAATTATACCTGAAACATACTGGCAACCAATGTAGCTCACAAAGCAGTGATGTTACATATATTAAATACCTCACATCCTTGACTACCTGTACAGCCATATTCTGCCCTGGTTGAAGCTTTAATTTTTGTTACCTCTGAGTCCCCAGCTGCTGCTGCTTTTAATAACATCTGACTATTTTAGACAAGTTTAATTCTTTCCTTTGTGATTAGAAAGAATTGGGACAGAATTGTCTAAGGTGCATTTCCTCGGCTTCAAAGACACACAAGTCTGCTTCTATAAATAATGGTACTGTATGAGACCTGAGAAGTTCTCCCAGGAGATCTTTCGAAGTTTTGTGGGAAACGCCCAGAACTTCAGAGTATGCTTTTAGATTTGCAATCTACATTCATCTTTGTGTGACGTGAGAGCTAAAGCAGTGGAGGACAAATCTGACTCCCTGTAGACTGCTTCTTCAGGAGATGTCTTCCATAAACCCTTGACCTGGAAACAGAAACTGGGACTGTAATAGCTAACACCAGTATTAGGAACAAGCTACCCTTTCAATAGCTTATTGATTTATCTTAGTTTGCATACACAAAGCTAAATAAATCATCATTCTTGCCAGTAAGTAGCAAGTTGATAGCTACCAAAATAATTAATGTTACTATTTAACATCACTCATCTTTACCAAGGTTAATAATTTACTATTCTTTCTCTTGACCTTTGTGATTAAATGATTGCATTTAATGAGGGCATGTTACTACTAGCCCAGGTTAAACTTGCTACCAAAGATAGTGTGACAAAATATTATTTCATCCAAACTTGGACCTTATTTTGCTGACCCCAAAGATAGAGGTTTTGAGACAGGTATTGAGAGGTTTCAGATCAACCAAAGAGACCAATAATTTTAAAACACTTTTCAACCACTGGTTTTGTTGATCTGTTTATTTCAACCCTTAGTAAACATTATTTAATAGCTCTATGTGTTTTCCCTAAAACTGATGACAACCCAGTCCCCTAGATGAGTAGACTACAACTCTATTCAGCCCAAGGTTATAGTTCAAAATATTTAGAGGGTACTAGGTACTGTATTGTTATCACATATATTACACCATAATCTTTAGAGCAACCAAATAAGGTGCAATATGATTTTCAATATTATAGCAGTATGCCTAAGAAGAGATGAACTGAATAAACAAATATGTGTCACTGATATGTGATTTCACCATTATCTCTGTAAAATTTTTATCCTCCCTAAAGCTTATGCCAGTCTGCTGTTCTCATATGGATCATACAAGTTCTCCTTTGTATAAGATTTCAGGAATTCACCTTTTTTTGGTTAAAGTTGTTCTACACTATAGTACTAAATATCACATTCTATTCTATTCTATTCTATTCTATTCTATTCTATTCTATTCTATTCTATT